CCGAAGATTAATTCCGAATGCTATCAAACTCCGTATACTATTTACAGTCACCATTTAGCACCTTTTAGTCACTGTGCTCCTATAAAAACTAAACTTTTTTTTTTCTTTATACATATTTGACCCACCCTAATATATACCTTACATGTTAATTCCATTATGAGAGTAGGACGCGCAATGTATGAACCCGTCGTAATTTGAGTACTTTGACATTCATTTATCTCTATTACAGATCTGGTGTACCCTCGGCACCCTCACAGGCGTGCTAAGCATACCTGGCTTATAACTGTTGTATGTTTGTTACAGCGAAATACACCTCCTCCACCTAGTGTAATGGGGTGGCGATTATACTGCGCCGTGTAGGTGAAATAGTATGTTACGAGTAAATTTTAGTCACTGGTGCTTACTGTAGGAGATCTGTATCTATATTTTTAATCGACTTATGAAATAGACTTATGAATATATTCAGAGAAAAAAGTACATGCATCTTAGGTCATTCATGGTTTTGAGAGCACATTTGCAGTCGGTTGGATTAATTATAAAATTATTTATATATAGTTGTAGTATTTGTTATACCAAAGTCAGTTTTGTTAATAATAGGGGGGTAAACGAGCCTACGGGAGGGATGCCAAAAAAAGGGCAGTCATCGCAGCCCACGGACACCTATTTTTAGTGGGTGCGTTGCCGGTCTTTTAGGGAGGAGAACACTCTAACTTTGAATAGTTGGAGGTCGTATCTCTCAGGGAAGACCCCAACCGGGAGTCGATTCCACAGTTCACTAGTTCGCAAAAGAAAATGCCTTGTGAAACGGACTGTGGAAGACTTCCAGCCATCAATGTGATATTGATGAAATTTTGAATTGATACGGCTCGTACGGTGTTGAAACGAGCCAGGAGGGATCAACCCAAACAATTCTTGAAAACACTCACCGTACTTTATAGAAAACGTATGTTTTAAGTTATTAATATGAACATTCATTCATACAACAACTGAGCGTTTTTTTAAGATTTCGCACTACCGCTGTGGAACTAGCTGCCCACCGAAGTTTATCCGAACCAATTTGACTTATGTTCTTTCTAAAAAAGAGCGTACCAATTCTTAATATGCACTGACGAGCCTTCTGGAAGCGTGAGTGTCCATTGGCGGCGGTATCACTTAACATTAGCTAGCTTAACACAGCCTCCTACCTGTGCTTAAAAAAAACATTCTCCTATAAACTTCATTATCACAAATAAGTTTATCATAATCAACTTGTGTTTGACCGAAATTCATTAGCCGTTCTCATTTATACCTTCAATTTTAAACGAATAACGAGTAATTGTGGATGTTTAATTGCTCTTTATTTCCACATTTTCAGTTAATTGTTTTATTGTTTCGGCCCAAAACGAAATGGAATCGTGTTGTCAAGGTTTCTTTCAATAAATTAAATGTAGGTTTGTGACAATGTTTGGTACTTGCTATTCGGTTTTTAATTGTGTTTGTGTTTACACATAATTTTTCCGTTGCTTTCGATATATACTTATAATTAAAAAGTTTTATTGACTGACTGATTTTTTTGTGTCGTGATTTGTTTCAAAATTATAATACACCATAACTAAGTAGTATTATAAAAAAACTTATTTAAAACACAGTTGAATAGGACCTGATGCAGCTGAAAGCCATCAGCGGGAGGTGATACAGGACCGGGAGAGCTGGTATATTCGCATTTCGGAGGCCAAGACATTTTTAAGGCCGCAGAGCCAGTGGAGTTAGTTATTGCAATAAAACAAAATATGGTTTTGACAAAACTCTTAAGACGTGTTGTGGGTGACTAGACTACTACATCTCTTCCGCGTTATATGGTAAAAAAATCGTGTTTAAAACAAAGGGAATACAAGTGTAATAATATAACTATAAACTAAAAATAAAATAGTGTTATGAAAAATAATCAATATAAACTTGCTATATCAGACTAAGCCATCAATGCCACATCTAGTAAAAAATCAAATTCGAACATCTGTGTTTTGCTTGGTTGACTGATCAAGTTTATTATGTCTACCCACATGTTTGGTGCTGTTATGTTTTGTTATTTTATATATGTACCTACATCTGTGCGCTCTAATTTATAATTTTTAATCTTAGTTTTAAATATTGTTTCTCAGTAAGTGAATTATGTATGCAATTCTTATGAGAAATAAAGTTATTCTTAAATCTAAAAAAAAATACATAGTATTGTCTTTTATTGACATAACCTTTACACATTTAAAGAAAAAACTTTTTAACCGGATTAAAGTTATGTATTATTATAAATTTACAATAATAATACATAACTTTACCGTCACCGTGACCACGCACGGTGTAAAGCACGCGAAACGTCGGTTAAATTTAAAATTATGTTAAATAATTGTAAATTTATAATAATACATAACTTTAATCCGGTTAAAAAGGTTTTTTCTTTAAAAAAATACATGTAAGAAATAATTGAAAAAAAAAGAGGTTGTGTTTGTGTGAGTGAGGCTAAAAGATGTTTGCATGCGCTGTCTTAGTTTTTTTATATTATGTCATGCCAAGACATAAAGTAATGTTTTTTAGTGGTCATAAGATAAATAATACATCAAGTCAAAATTTTAAATTGTTTATTTGTCGTTTGTTTCAATGCGTACATATTTAATAAGTTCCATAACAAAATTTTAAGGTTATATAAATATTCTTATTCTATCGACCGCATGCTAATTCGATTAGTTATAACCTCGGGTATAGGCAGATACAGGTTACTTAATATATAATTGTATACTTAGAAAATTATTGAAGGGCAATATGTATTTTAGCTATATTTTCAAGCGTACATTCCTGAGACGAAAGTATTACTAATAAACTAATGGTATTGTCGTTTCATTTGGTAATAATTTGCAAAAACGACAATACAATTAATTTTAATGAGTGGTAAATCTATCATTACATTTTTAATAATTTTATTGGATTAAAATTTAAAAACGCTCATAAAAATTAAATGAAGATGTAAAACTGATCATTAAGTGATCTGTCTCATAGTGCAAGTCACAGTTTGAAAGAAAAACACAAAAATACGTTATTTTTAGAGTCAATTTTCTAAGCAAAATAATAGAAAGATTATACATAACCAATACTCAAGAGTAAAAAGGGAGCGTTCAAGTATTACGTAACGAATTTTGGGAGGGGGGAGGTTCGGGGTCCTTTTGTAAAACGTTACGATGCGGGGCGGGGATTGAATTACGCGTTATTGTTAATATTATTTTCTACTTACACCACATAATAGTAACTAAAGAGACACTAGGTGGTCACGAAACGTTTTCTAGACTTGGGTACAGTACTGTACTTGGGTACTGAAAAACGTTACGGCGAGTTCATGGGGGGGTCACGTAATACTTGAACGCTCCCTAACATAATGTACTAAGTTTTTATTATCCCAATAAAATTACCTTCCGTGAGCCGTTTTTTGTTAGTACTTCAAAGGATTATTGATTTACAATACATATAAAAATATTAATTCCAGAATATCTTTATAACAAAATCAAGTGTCAAAGGAAATAATAAAAATAGCCAAGTAACATGCTAATCATTTTGTACCCCTCACCATCAGAGCAACTGGTTTTATTGCATTATAATTATCATATTGAAATTTTGGACAAAATTCGGTTTCGGTTATTAAATATTAAAAAACTTAATACTTTTATTACTTAACTGAAAATAACAGCTTCATATAGCAAAACAGAGACGAAACGAGTTATAACTCTTTCAACTAATATAATAAAGTTGCAAAATTCCTTAAACAGATATTGAACCAGTGTTGATTAATTTCATTAAACATTAGAAAGCTTTCAAGGCGTTCTTAAAAATGCAATGAATTATAGGTGATATTCCAGTTTTACTTTTCTGTTTAACTAACGCAACGAGCGGTAATGGAAAGCAAAAACTAAAAGTAACATCGCAGTTAGCAAGCTGACGGTTAATTATTCAACTTGTTAGTTATGCGAGTTAGTTATTCAAGTTAGAATATTTAACGCGAAATAAATGGCGATTTAAACTACGAATATTACATTCAGTCGCAAAAGAGAAGTTGAAAAGTATGAATGACCATCGGTGCTATCAGCGATGGTATGGGGCTATGTCCATTTATAGGTAACATATTCAGAAGAGTTTAAGATTCATTGAGTTGGCAAAAAAGTATCGTTTCAAAGTGTTTTGCAAAGTTTTGATTGACATAATTCTTATAATTGGCCAACACAACATGCAATTAAAATGATACAATATTAGGAAATGATTCTTATTATTTCAAAAGCTTTCTATTTACGTGATTATTGATTTAATGCGATTTGGACTAACTATGGAGGCATAAAAATATATCTCGCGCTTATGAAACTCGCTTTTCATCCAAAATTTCCATGTGCTGTTAAGCGAATATTTTTTCCTAAATACATTAGTATACTTTAACAATACTCTCAATAATAAAAGTTAACGTATTTTATTATAATATGAAGGAAGTATTCTATATTGCTCATTTTTGTACAAAGTTTTCATTAAATATTGGTGTTTTATTCCAGAAAATATAATAACTACGATATAATTACAAGTTTTAAGTATTTTAATACCTAGGTATATTAATGGAACTACCCATAATGTCTGAGGAACTACATAAATAACCAAAATGTAATTTATACCAAAACAATATAATTACAGTATACACAATTGTAAAATACATACTTGAGGTAAGGAAAGGAAAATCTAAAACATATTAACAGCTAATAATATCTCAACTGTACATTAAAATATCAAGGAAAATATTCACATTATATCTAAACAAGTTAAGTACAAATTCGAAAATATTTAAAAATTAATCTATATACATCTTTATATACAAAGCTATCACATCTTCATAACATTATTTACATTATTGCAGGTTACTCGTTCACATATCAATTGTCTCGTATTAAACGTCTTATAAAATTGTTTGCGCTTTTGACAAAGTTCATCACAATAACCTTATGTTACACATACACTATGTGTGGTTTCTCTGGGGTCCTGTGTGGAGGAATAGTTTCATAAGCAAACTGTTGATAAATGTGCTCATCACTATCTTCCTGGTAATAAGGGTTCTTATCCATGGCTTGCCAGGGAGGATTTAATGAATGGAAGTTGTTAGTAACAGACGAACCGATCATTAAGTATTTATCGACCTCCCTTTTACTATCAGTTTCTCTACCACGGGTTGTGTAAACTAATCCGTTGCCCAATTTTGAAACATCACCGTTAAGCATAACGCTAGTCATAACTTGCTTTGATTTGTCTCCTTTACATTTCTTTAGAGGTCCAATAAAGTACAATACTCCACCAACAATGCTTGTAATGATGCTCACTGTCATCACCACGATAGCGACTATAACCCACCCACTGGAGCAGCCAAACTCTGACTCGGGAATCTGAATAAAACTAATTCCCTTCAAATGCTCTGGTGCAGCACATTTTACATCTTCATAATCAATTTTAAGTATCGTACTACTATTTTCACTTTTTCGGCTCCGAAGTTCACATTCTCTTATAAGATTCCATAACCATACTAATGAACAGTTACATACAAATGGATTTCCTGATATTTCAAGTTCTTGTAAAGTATCGATTGGAAAGTGTGAAGCTTCGAGGGTTTCTAAAGCATTGTTTCTCATATAAACGTGTGTCAGCTTAGGATTCCCATGGAATAATCTCGGAGGCACTTCCTTTACTCTTAAGTTTTCATTCATCCATATCTTCTGTAGATTTATATTATCAACAAATGCTCTGAAATCAATTTTTTCTAAATTGTATATCCTACTTAAGTGTAAATGTTTCAAATGAAAGAGGCTTTGAAAAGACAACGCTGATACATTATGGAAGAAATTTCCGCTCAAATACAAGTGAGACAAATTCGACAACTTTGACAAAGCTGATGTTGGAATCGTAGTCATGTTGTTATCGCTAAGATCTAAGTGTCGCAAAGAAGGTAAGTTGTGAAGGCCCAAGTGATCGATTTCTTCGATTATATTATTGTTCAGATCTAAATGTTTCAATTCCTTCAAGTACGGCACCCCATGCTTTGGTATCCTTTGTATCAAATTTTCTGAGAGATCTAAAAACTCTAGACTTATAATTGTCAGTAAATTGACGGATGGTATTTCTAGTATAGAGTTATTTTTTAAATATAAAATCCGAAGTGAAGATAGCGGTTCAAACGTATCAGATTCAAAAGTCACTAATTTATTATTAGACATATCGAGTCTCTCTAATACTGTTAGATCTTTGAAAGTTAGTGCATCTATAGTAGATATTTCGTTATAAGATAAATTCAGATCGACGAGTCTCTTAAGACCAATGAATGTGTCTTTGTCTAACTTTCTGAGAGCATTGTGACTCACGTTTAGATGGGTCATTTCGATGTTGTTATCAAAATTCCTACTTCCTAAGTCTTGTACTTTGTTGTACGAAATGTCGAGGATGGTTAGTTGGGTATAAAAGCCGAATGTGTATAGAAGATTGTCGATAGAGTTGTGGGTTAGGTTTATTTGTGTTGCTTCTGGGTTGAGTTGTATAGGCACTATTTCGAGGCCTGCATTGGCGCACGATGCAGCTCTGAGCGCGTCGTCGCATTCGCATCGTGGCGGACATAATGTGCGCGCTGCAGCGCTCCACGCCCACGCTACCACTACCACCCAGATCCAGTGTGCTACGCCGCGTGAGCCCATAACATTTCATATAAACTCCTCTGAGTACCTGAAAGAAGGAAAAGTTCACGTTAAAATCTCATTTAAACAATGGCTATTTAATGTCACAAAGTGTAAGATAATACAGATTTTTATGTTAACTTAAAATTTATCCACAGTATTAAATTATTTTACCCTAGATAATTAAGTTTTAAATCATAGAGGGGAGGTCTAAAAAGGTAAGCTTCTCAGTATGATAAAATCTTTATCTTATTTCTGGCCCGAACTGCTTAGAAAAATATATTCCTCTCCCTCAATTATATTATTAATATAAACTAGAATTGTTTGTGTTGAGTTATCAAACTTTTAGGCGTAGCTTAAAATACGATTTCAAATATTTTGGTAGCCTATAGTTACCTAAATGGTCTATAAAATGTTATTTTCAATATGAATAGTACGTATTAAGATGACTTTAAGAAATGTACCGTTGTGAAAAGCACTAGTAGTTTGAACTCGTTCCGTTAATCCTCCACCGTCTAAACAATTCCACACAATACCAACGAAAACGCTTGGCTATTAACAAAGGAGCATTTGGTACTTTAAATTAAATGTTCGGCTTTACAATTCGACGGAATGTATAATGAATAGCACCGTAACATCTGTTAACGAAAGCGAACGATCTCAAAAGTTTTCACGCGCGGGAATAACTAATTGCGAAGGTTGGAATTCAATTTATGGCTTCTAGTGTACCACCAGGGAGATCACGCCACGCTAAAGTATTAATAATGCAAAACAGTGTCACGAAAAGTTTCTGATTTTGAATGCAAATTAAATTAGAAAACGAAGCAGGGTTTGAAACTTTCAGCACTTCAGATATTGTTGGCTTGCTAAATGTTAATCGCGTTTTGTTAACAGATAATCAAATTCCTCCGATAAAATGTAACACGTTTCGGAAAATAAATACAATTCTATAAGGAGTTGGCGTTCGTGTCTTTGTGAAGACGTGAGAAGTCGTTTCTCTTGGCCTCCCTCCGCAATTTGATATCGCCCTACACGAATGGATTACCCCATTGCGCCTGAATTACAGAAACCATACGTATACGCACATTTGATACATATCAGACCTGGTATTAAGATAGATTAATTCGGGTAGCTACTTTTTACATTCTAAATCAGATTAATAGAAAAGGCTTCTAGAGACTTACACAATGTACTAATATTATATTTATGTACAAAATATCTGGAGAAATTAAACAAATGTGTAAACCATTCACCGATCATAGCCTTATTGCCCAAACGATAAAATTGTACGTTTGTCCCCCTTTGGGGTTTACTCAAAGGTGGTCGTGGTTAAGCGGCTCCGATGAAATGGCTAAGGGAGGGCACGCCCTCTATTTCCGAGCCTAAACTGCCCCGGTCGGTACTCTTTTGTCTTTTAATTTCCTGTCCGCACTGCGAGTTAAGATCGTGAATTTCGCTTTCGTTAACATGTTTCGTTCTTTGTTATTACTGAACTTTTCTATTACAGCGTTAAAATGAACCCCCAAATTCCACTTGATGAAAATCCCATTACAATTGTTCCGCAACACGAGCAATGTTTCAAGTCTTGATTATACTTTAAGTAATCGACTTTCCAGCTTTGTTCTTTTGTCTTTGCGAGTTAAACGTTAACATATCGATTTCAAACAATTTCGTTTAATTTGTAAAATGGTTATAGTATATGTTTAAATTAAGACAAAAATCCGTTTATCACATTACCTAAATGTAGATAAGATATATTGGGACAAATTCCTGGCGCCGAATGAATTAGGTACCCTATCTATTACATGCGACCGCTAACGATCGAAGACGCCGTAATTTACTAAACAGTGGTGAGCGGTAAATTCAATATTAAAGGTGCCGTGTCCACAACTATTAATAACAGTCAACAGACTTGGGTTATTATCAAAACTCTCCGTTTAGTTAAATCTAATTGTGGTATTGTGGTCGATGCAATCAACGCCGAACCGTTTCCACTAAAGTTATCGCACTGGTAATACAACTTGAGACATTACTAGCACAAAGGACGCTTTACGAGGGGTGGAAGACAATAAAACCAGTGTAAAAGTCGGCTAACCACTCTTCCCAGAAAATATCCAAGCCCTCTATTTTCATGAGTAGCTTAAGTCATGTTCCGTTTTTTAAAATAGTCCCTATTCACTCGATGTTGAAAACTTAAAGCATATAGGGGGCAGCGCTTGAAATTGTTTAGAGGTGGTTTTGTTGTGTGGTTACACTTCAAATACATACGTTTGTGATGGTTTTAAGTTAAGAACGGACTTGTATAATGAGAAAACTTGGTCAGTCAGAGCTGGTACCGCTAGCGAACAACACAAAAAGCGGACTGAACGACAACCGTTCTAAATGCAACTGCAACGTTGAGTTCCGCGAAAATAAATGACGGCATTCCTCTTAGGAAGAAATGCAGTAAATGGAGTTTGTAGAATCTGCAACTTGAAACAAATGCCGTACTTACATTGACAGATCAAGATTTTGCAAACTCCCTTTCAAGAAAAGCTGTTTAAAACGAAGTTAATGGGAGTTTGTGGAGGAATTTCTGTAGAACAAAAATAATTAGCTATATCTTTGAAAACATCTAGAATAAACTGTCTTTTGTTAAACGTACTAAATAGGTGTAATTAACTTAAAGCGGTATGAGAATATCAATAAACTATGATTAAATAATAATTATGCAAACCCATAAGCGCGATATCCTAATCGAAATTCAACGTCTAATTAGTCTCTAGGGAAGTTGTAATTACCCTTTATAACGATGATAGAGAGTCCACGCCCTAACCAATATACCTAATATGACTATAACCTTTTTACATTGTTAACCCAATAACTTACACTACTGATTTTAAGCTTCTGGCAATGTTAAAATCCAGAATTATTTATATTAACTAAAAAACTGTAAACAGTCTGAATTACCATCTATAATAATTATACATACATATGTATGTACATCTTGCATATTAGGTATAATTACAAGTCTTGGCAAGTTAAAACGAAAACAAAATAGAACCTTAATCTTGCAGGCTGAAAACAAAAAAAAAGTTTGTGACTGAGCCCTACACAATTCCATTTTCTCTTTCATCGCAACGGAGCGAAACTTAGTGAATCAGTCTTCTCTATAGCGCCTTTATAAACGCAATAATGAGAAGTGCTAAAGCGGCATTCAGCCGTGAGCGTAACGAGGGCCGTCGATGAATCGTCCATGAGGCGAACACAAAACTTGCCACTTGCTACGTAATCACGATGGATACCGAGGCTTAAAATCTTTTCTCTATGGTAAAGACATTTAAGATTAGTTGACGATGGCTAAATCGACCAATAGTCGAATGATTCCAATAAGGAAACCAAATACATTCTGATTGAAATAACTGCTGCGTCAATTGTCTATTTCAAGAGCGTATTATGAGTAAAAAAAAATAATAATAATAATAAAATAATTAATTAATTTAATAATTAATTTCAATTTTGTTTTTGTTTTTATTTTATAAAACGATAATTGTTGAACTAAAATAAATAAATAAATCATTGGCGCTACAACCTTTTAGGCCTGGGCCTCAGATTTCTGAATCTGCTTCATGATCATTTTTCAATCTAATAGGCAAGTAGGTGATCAGCCTCCTGTGCCTGACACACGCCGTCGACTTTTCGGGTCTAAGACATGTCGGTTTCCTCACTATGTTTTCCTTCACCGTTCGAGCGAATGTTAAATGCGCACATAGATAGAAAGTCCATTGGTGCACAGCCGGGGATCGAACCTACGACCTCAGGGATGAGAGTCACACGCTGAAGCCACTGGGCCAACACTGCCTAAAATTGTTGAACTATATACATTAATAATCACTTGAGCAATGTACGTACGGGTTTATGGTATAGTGTCGCCCATTTGCCAAAGGCTTTAAGCTTGACTTTCCTCTTTCTATTTCGATGCCACAGATGAATAGTCAATGAACGAATTTAGGCCAAAGCGGACGTTGCAGATTAAAAGCATGTTTGTTCAATGGTAACTCGATTAAAAATGGCCAGACTGAATGCTTCATTTAAACCAGGTTTATTCTACCAAGAATGTAAGGCGTTTCATAACTTTATGAATATCAAGTATAGGCTTCGTCGCACAGGGTATTAGAAAACAGAAGTTTGTTTACACGAGTTTACACCGCAAGGATTACTTTGAAACTCCATAAGGTATCGAGTATTAAAACTAGTTACTTGAAGTTAATCTTGTATGAAAAATTTAGAAGTAGCTGCTTTGCTTTTACTAAATCATATAGGATAATTATACGTATAACTTTATAAAACAAACAATCTTTTCAGGTAATTAACTAAATATAGTATTAATTTGTATTCATACTATTTACAGTTCATATATTAATGTTTATATAATTTCTTGACGTAAACCATAAATTCAACGTGATAGTGAATTTATGCTGATAAAAATATCTCAGGGATTTGCGAATCTCTATTCCCGCTGTTAAATAATGAAATAGCTCATTGAGCTAAAGTCACTCTGAAGCCATCATCAAGCCTAGTTCCTGCAGAATACCAAGGATTGCTTTAAATATTGTAGCTATAAGACTTATTTAATGAAGAGGGTTTAGGGTAATAGGAAAAAATTCTTCCCACATTGAAAAATATTGTCAATAAAGTATTAAATAAGTCCCGTTCATTGAACGAAGCCTTTTATAGCAATAAAAGTTGTGGCCACTTATGGCAAATTGCCAATACGATAAAGGCAAAGAATAGTTAACGGAAACGTTCTTGTGAACCACAAAAAGCAACAAAATGTATCTGTATTGATTCAATGCAATATTAAATCCCAAAACGTTTTTGTTCCCTTCAAGTACGCTTATAAAGTATACTTTTCACTGGGTTTTATTAAATGCAAAATGCAAGGGGTTTAACCCGACGCGAGCGAAAAGCTGGCTACGTCTATAGCGCGCTTAGCTCAGCCGCGCCTCTAAAAGCGTAACGTGCAACAAAATCCTACGTTT